AAAAACTTACAAAGGTTCAAAAGCATCTAAGCCAGCAACGGCGCTTTTAAGTGTCAAACAAAGTTGTCCTTTACAAGCTCTCGGTAACAGATATTCATGCAAAATTCGATTCATACATTGAGTGACACAATCGTCGTTGAAAATTTCAGGCCCTGAAAATGCACTGTCATTTCGGGATTGAAGGAAGCATTTTAAACATGAAAGCCTTCAAAGACAGACAGACTTAATATAAAAATAAAAAAAAAAAAAAAAATGAGACGAACCCATTATGAAAATTTCAGCTAAGCGTACATAAACTTCATTTGCAGTAGCAAAAGCATAAAATAATGAAGGCCTTTCAATCATAACCAGAAGAGTCCAAAAAAGCGCCAATCGTACTATTATCAAATCATTAGCTGTTACTTTTCTGAAACAATAAGAATGAACGCCAAAAAAAGAGTTTTCGGTGACGATAATTTATTTTTGCCTTTACCTGATCATTCTCATTACCACGTTTGCACTTGTTCAGTACTAATAAACCATATAACAGTTGTCCTGTTCAGTTAACAAGGAATTCTACTATTGGTACTACCTGATTATCGCATGATTGTAGCACGAAAGTAATATGAAGAACGTAGAAAAGAAGGCAAGAATAGGGCGACCTATGTAATGCAAGAGGTAGAAATATTGTTGGTACAGGAAAAATAAGTACGAGAGACAGAGAGAGTTAAGACGTTTCGGTCCATGAAGTCATATACGTCTTAGCTCAACACCGCGGCTGGACCTAGTCTATTATAAACACATATTCTAACTGGATAAGGTGTTTCATTGTAGTCTAGTAGTGGCAACGTTCGTGACGCACTGGCGATGTGCAACACACATCGAAGATTTCTTAAAACAGCTAAACTACTTCTCGGAGGGATACCGCTAAGTTGTTACTTCTTTCACAAGATGAAACGAATGTTAAGAATCGCAAGCAGGCTGACCACTAGCCGATGAAGTATTTGTTAAATCCACAGTCAGAGAACTTGCTTATATATTACAGATACAAAAAAACTTTCAAGCACCACACATTTACAAGTAAAGCAAGAAATGTACGAAATCCTGACTGTTTTAATTAGTATATAAAACGCCAAATTGATTTAGTACAAGTAAAAGCGATCACAAAACATACCCATCCTTCTCAATAACATCCAGAACCCTGCGAATAGGTGA